ATGAGAAAATAGGGTTCTGTTGGTGTGAACTGAGTTCACAAGTAAGGCATGGACAATTTAGGCAAAATGGCATGTGGACAACTTATATAAGCAAAGTCCACTAGCACATTCAACTACACACAACTCATTTGTACTTTATTTACACACCCAAGCGAGATTCTGTGCAAGGTCTGTGTGTGTTCACAAGGGACCATGAAAAGCTGCACGTGTAAAAAGATGGCAAGGGAAGTCCCTATGCATTAAGAGGTTCATAGGAAACAGCCATCCATTTCTCACTCCTGAAATCATCAAAAGAGCTGTCCATATGAGCCAAACTTTGTTTGTTGTGTAGAGAAGACTATGTAGAGTCCATACAAAAGGGCTGTCCTGCACTCACTGTACACACAGCATGTACATGAGTGGGCTTCCAGCATGTTTTTATTGTATTCCTATAGTTATATGCAGCCAGTCTCCATTCATGGAGCTATATGGCAGGCAGATTTTACCTCTCTCCCTTACCTGTTGCATGCAAGTGCTGCTCACTGTAGTTTGTATTTTGTGTCCCAACATGTCTTTCATTAAGTTCAACAACTATCTTAAATATCATGGAATCTGTTAGTACTGTATGTTGTCAAGCATCAGATGAGATTTTCCCTATAAGGCCTTTCCTATCTGAACCCTCTGATGCGTGTAGGAAAGGAAGGAGCTTACTGACAAAGTGCTAGCCTACTCTAGGAAACATTTTACCCCAGAATCTCCTACTTGTCTGCCCAAAGATATCGAAAGAATCATTATCATGCGTCCTGCCTGGGAAGAGACTGTTCCAAGTCCATCTGAGAGGGTACTAAAAGTTGGGAAATAAATTCTTACAGACCTTTAGAACAAACAGAGAAACAACACTTGCATATTAAAACTACATAAAAAACTGTAAATCATATTTAAAAAATTCAAGAGACAATGGTTACAGATTATCAAAGGAAGAGACAGTTGAAAAGCAAGTGGATTTTTTTTCTTTGTTGGCAACAGCAATTTTGGCACAAAGGCAATTGCAGAAAGAGAGAGAAACAAACAGGCAGACAAAGTACAGAGAAGGGTTACAGATCTACCACAAGCATGCCAGAGGTCAGCACTGAAAGCACAGTCACCGATTTCCCCACCCTTCCTTCACAGGAGAGTCCTGTTTTTTCCTGGGAGAAAATGGCATTGACTGCTTAACACTTCATTACCATTTCCCCAGCTGAAGAACAACCTGTATCTTTCCAGCTTGTACTCTGAAAATCCCCTGCAGAGTCCCCTGAGTGTGCCACACACACTCAATGGAAACTAGACAAGACCCTCAATGGAACCAATAATTCTATCTGACAAACCACTCAACTTGGAGGTCAGGGGTTGCTTCCTAAAACTATAGCCATTGCAACACAAGGGAAGATAAATACATTTAATCCAGCTAGACAGTGTCTGCACTGTGAAAAACTGACACATTTAGCAAAGTTAACACATGCTGATCCAGTTAGTAACATCCCAGATGAAAGTGTTTAGTGTGACCTCATTGTACCTCTGTTGACTTAACCAGCTGAATGGTGTTCAAAAGTGTGAATGTCCCTTAGGCTCCACCTATTCACTCCAGCTAGTTTAGACACAAGGGGTGCTGACAGACGTGGGAAAAAATACCAAAAAACCCCAAGCCACACAGCACTTTACTGGAAGAGGAATAGGCTATCAGATAAAAGTGCCAGAAAGCCCCGCTGAAGTGCGTGAGCTATACAAATGCTGGGCAAGCCAGGTCAAACTGATGCGATTCCTCTTGTGGGCACGCACTGGACTCAGCACGGGGGCATGCCAAACTGAAACTAAAAAGTGCTGGTTTCCCCCGCACCCATGTCTATAAGCACCCATTGTGGCAAACTGATGAGTAAAGGAGATGTTAAGTGTAAACTGGCTAAGGTTGAGAGTGCAAATGAAGTGTAAATTACAGCCATCTGCTATTCTGTGAGAACCAAATGTCATCCCTGGCACAAACTGTTACAACCGTCTACTGAATAGGAGTTCTGCCTGCTTCTACCAGGTCTGAATTTGACCCAGCATTGTTGGAAAGAGGTCCAAAGGAAGTTAAGAATGTAAGGAGAAGCAGTCCCACCACATCTCCCTGAGCTCCCTTCTTCCACCTTCAAAGTTATATTCATTTTGCACTTCCATCAAATGCACAGGCTTGGCATGTTACACTTCCCTTCTTTTATTGACATTGTAATCAGTTTACACTCGCATCATCCTTGAAGTTGGTTTCAGATTTTTATGAGATTTGACACTGCTAATGCTGTGTGGCATTTAACGGAGTTTGGCCCAAAGGGAGACTTGGAAAAAACGGCTTTGACCCAGAGTTTCAATTTAGACAGGCACATGCTTACGGTACTGGTCTACTCTATAGTGTACACAAACTCTAATTAACACAATTTGATAAATTACAGATAGACATACACGCAAGCACAAGTCATTTGTGCTTCAAAAAAAAAAATCAGGATTTTGATGGAGATGTATCCTGCAACACCCCTATCGTTACCTGTGAATAAAACCCCAACTTTTTACTGCATTTCCCAACCTAGGAGTTTAAAGTTAAATCTCTTTTTTAAAACAAACAAGCAAAAAAACCCACAGAATCATAAACACTAGCCACAGACTTCCTGACCCAACCAGCAGGAACAGGATCCAAAAGGTAGATGGCTACACTATATATGGCTACAAAAGCAGAGAACTGACCTGCAGTTAATGAAGCTGCAGCAAGCTTTTCAGCACTGCTTTTAGCTAGCATCTTCCTGTTCCTTCTATCCTGCCCTGTAGAGCATTAAGATATACTTAGAATTTCCTTCATGTTGGTTAAAAAGGTATATGAAATCTCACCTGAAAATGACTTTGGTATGGGAGATAAAGTAGTGCAAATCTCTCTATTGCTAAATCTACATGTGAATATATACAAGCATGCAATGCACTATACTGCCCTACAGGCAATCCCGATGCTTATTTTGACAGTAAACTAACCTGGATGGGTTTTTTTCTGCATAGTTGGTGCTATGCATAGGGCAACATGCATCTCTGTGCTCCCTTTGAAAGGCCAGCATTTTACAAGTCATACAATAGGACTCCCTTTCAGTACAACAGCTGAAGCAAAGAGAAACAGGCTGACATCTCAACTTTTCTTTCTAGAGAAAATACATCCTGTTCTGTTCCTCTCATGAACTCAAATCACAGATCTGTCAATAGGGTCATGGCAGGCATGTAACAACAAATTCAGATTTTTATTTATTTGGTCATACGTGTATAGCAAAACATAGCCTAGCCTAATGTGTTATTTCTTTGCTATTTTATGAATATCTGTTTACAACTAGAGTTAGTTAGTATATGTATCTATTGCAATAATTACATAATAGCAGACAGCATCTCTGTGGGGGCTTGCTTTACTAAGATGACTGACAGATCAGGCTTAGCCTTTCTTTTGCCTACTTCCCTACACCAACCTCTATATAATCTTCGAACATCCCGAAGATGTGTTCAGAGGAATAGTTATTTTTTCCATTCTTCATAAAGGCTAGGTCCCATATAAAAATTCCCCTTATTTTTAGAGAAAAGCCTGGTTACTGAGAAAAGAGACAGGATCTTTAAATGTACTTTTTTTTTTTTTTTTAAAGTTAAAGCAGTTTTGTACGCTACACCTGTCTGAGACATCATGTCTATTTTTATGATTTTACTATAACATTCTCCTTTATACCCTCTACTCTTTTGCTACATAGAAATCCTACATTAATGAAAACGGAAACTAGTTACATGTGAAGTACAGTCAAATATGCAAGTAAAAACCAAAAAAAAATCTGTCTAATCACATTCAGCTATAATTTTAGGCATGCTTTGTAACAAAAATAAAAGCAGATCAAAGAATGATTTAAGCTAAATAGGTGTTAAAGATGTTTTTAAGCTAGCATTGTAATTGCATATCTTTAGCTTGTCAAACAAAAATAAAACCAACCAATTAGTCCCACTCTCCTAGAAGGAACTGATTTAGTTTTTCCACAGAATTCTGGCACGTAGGCTGGAAATCAACTCTATCCCTCTTTCCCTTTCCAAGTACCTTAAACTGCAGTCTTGAACAATGAAAAACTGAGGGTTGGGCCAAAAGTAGCATAAACAGAACATTTCTCCTGTGATAGAAGGAATTTGAGTTTTAACCTACAAGCTGGATATCTTTAGCAGTAAAGCACATGCTTTCACAACCCAGTTCCCAAAGCCACTGCCAGGAGTTTGTTCTGGCAGCAAAGGAAGAGCAACATGACCTGCCAGCACCAAAGAGCTCAAGAATTTAAAGATGGTTCCCTTTAGCTGCGGAAGACACCAAGAATCCTAAAGTAGCCACAATCCAAAAACAGCAAGGATCTTCTATTCAGATAGCAGATTAATGAGCAGCTTGGGAGGATGAGGTACAGTACCCAGCATTCAGACAAACACAGAAATCCAATTTCAGGCATTACATTAGTCCATCAGAGGGACCTTAATGCTACTAAAACTAAATCTGCAGACTTGCAGAGTAGGCCTTTTTACTTGGGTCCAGTCCAAGAAAATCCTGAACTGAGTATCTGTGTTTACCTAGAATGATTTCAGGCAGTGCTCTTGAAAGAACTGGAAGTGTCCAGGTCCCAAAGCCACCACACAAAAGAACATATTCAAGCTTTTATACAGCATCAACATTTCACACAAGTTATACAGCTTACATAGTTGAATCGTTTTAAAGCTTTATTGGTCAACAGACTGCCAATAGAACTCCCCCAGGATCTGCACAAGAACCTCTGACTGGACATAGAGAAAGGGAACCCCAAAAGCCATCAACTGACACATGAAAAAGGAGTCCAAAGGATTTTGGGCTACCTGGCGCCCGACTGAGGAAACTGTACTTTGCAGGCGCTGGCTTGCCACCCTAACTCTGTCAAAGAGGCCGAGAGAGTACTGCACCACCCTGCCAAAGAAGGAAGCGGAGCTACCTGGGGTTCTCTCTGCTGAAGTGGCTGTGGAATTTGCCCGGCCAGCTCCATCACTTGCCATCGTGTCCTGCAAGGATCCTTTGCTGTCCTGTATGATTAATGAAAAGAAAAAGAAAAAACAAATCAGAAAATAAAATGCATAAATCTTGAAATGACTGATTTTTAATCGGGAGCAGAACGTTTTACATATTGAACACAGTCAACCGCGAAGGCAGCCCTCTGGAACAGTGGCATGCATTTATTCATGGAATAAGCAGGGGATGGACCCAACAATCAGGTGGAGGATCCAACCACTCAAATACTCTTTCCCCATGCTTCCTCATCAGATTACTTAAATTCTGAAGATCAGTTTATGCATCTGAGAAACCCAAGAGATATGTCTGAAGTTTGAGACATCTTGCAATTTCTGTGTGCAACAAACAGTTAGGACTTCATTTTCTGCAGGGAAATGAAAATCACCCGCTCCATTTTAGTGAAACATTTTCAAACTAGAAATGTTGTCAATTCTGTAATTCTTATTCTTCTAGTGTTGGCATACCTGTAGTAACTACTTCAGTCTACATGAAATTGATACCAACATCCAACATGGGATCAAACAATTGAGTCCCACAAAAAAAATGACAACAGTGATTATAGGATTAATCTTAAATTTACCATTTTATAATGGCATCGCATTTAAAAAGAATTGGATATGTTAATGAGTTTTCATTTTTGGCAAACATGTTCTTTTTGCAGTATGAAGAATCAAAACCCTCAATCCAACATTTGAAATTGAAATAAAAAGTTACCTTTCCTGACAGAGGACCCACTGCTGGCCTCTTCCTTTGAGCATAACCAGAGAGTCGATAACAGTAGTGAGGTTTACAGTAGAATTTACCTGCAGACAGAACAAGAGAGATAAGAGTAATGAGGAAACCACAGCAGGTTACACAGTATAACACTCCATCTCCATTCCCTTTGCCCCTGCCCTGTTTACCCCTATACTCAGAGTAACACATTGAAGTTTTAACTCAAGTCCTTCACTCCCCCTCCTCCCTGTAACAGCTTCTTTCCCACTGGGTGCCTGACAGCCATTTAGCTAACATCCAATCACACACCAAAGCAGAGCTGGGAGGCCTGCGTGGTATCATACGCTAACAATACAGCAGTGTGTGTGGAACAAAGACATTGTCACATGAAAAGTTGGCAGAAACAGTTCTGGAAAAAGCAAGAATGAATACAACTGGCAGAGGAATGAGGGAGAAGACTATGTTAACTCCAAAGAAACCATTTCTGATAATATAGTGACTACTCCTAAAAGGAAAGTCTACCTAAATTGTGCCTTTCCAATCAAGAGGTTTTACGGGACTACTGAGCAAGCTAGTCTGTACTCGCCTAGACAAAAAGTCCTACAAACACACTCCATGAACATACCTCAGTCCTGCCATGTGAATTCTACTGCTTTTCTCATCGAGTTACTACCTACACCTTTATCCTAATTTAAAGCAGCTTCTCCTAATCCAGGCTGGTCCTCTCTGCTTCAAAGTCCTCTCTGAGTCTGGCCAGTTTTGCTTTTTAAGATTTGGGAGATGTTTGGAAGGCCTACAGCTGCAACTGCAGTTTAAACCCTTGTTTTTTTTCTTGCTTTTAAAAAGCAATTAAAAACGCATTGGGTTCAACTATTAGAAGTCTATAAACACCTCCTTTTGTGAGGAAAAGGTAACAGCATCTCTCATGCAAGAGGTCCCTGCTCAAAAAAAACAAACAAACCATTTTTTTGATATTGACAGTCTTTCTAAAAAGTGCCCTGCATCTAACCTTCCCTTTCAGGGTAACATTTCTAAGAAACACATGTGAGACAGCTCTGGAAACATAAATCCTGAGACTTTCTTAGTTCCTTGCACTGTGGTTTTATACCTGAGCACAGCATCAAGAATATTGGTCTTTTGACAGGTAAAATTCAGATAAAGGGGTACACAGTGCTTCTTTTATATCTCCATAAATGCAGTTAATGTCATGGACTACAGAATTCATTTATTAACCCAAACAGATGAGTAATACATGAATAGCTCTATTATTTTCTCTCTCAGAAAAACCTTAGAGTTAAGCACTGTACACTTTTTAATCTGCCCCAAGGGTTCTTAGATACTGTACCACAGAGTTTATCTGGATGCTCCTAGTCACTGGGCATGTCTAGACATGCATTAATGCGCTTTTCTAATGCACATTAAATTTAATACCTCCAGGCACCTATACACAAGCCCTGAGGCTTTTCTGATGTGCTGGAATTCCAGCGCATCAAAGCAGACTCTATTAATCCCACTGAAGCATGGAAGTTGCTGCGCTCCAGCAGCCTCCTGCATCTCATGCATCAGTGTCCCCATGTTTAAAAATGGTGGTGGGGATGCTTGAACTAAAGCTTGTTTGATGAGCTTTAGTTCAAGCACCCACACTGTCATTTTTAAGCACAGGAACACTGATAAAGGGGACGTGGCGGTGCTTTAATTAGAATGGTTCTGGAAGCCACTCTAATTAAAGCACTGCTTTCCCTGACCCCCAGAGCCCATGCAAGGGTGCCCTCCAATGTGAGGTACTAAATAAATGTAAATTAGGCTGCCCTAATGTGCATTAGCAAAAGCACACACCTTTTTAGTGATGCTTAATGTGCACTGCCTATTTTACTGTACATTAGCACATTTGCACTTTTTTATGCAATGCTTTAATGTGTAGTAAAAGAGACTACTGTGCATTAAAGCATATGTGTAGACATGCCCACTATAGGTATAAAGTTGCTAGAAAAACCAAGAAAGCTTGGGTAACAATGGTACTGCTATGCAGAAGGGTCTCAACTTTGTGTTAGCCTCATCATACCTGGATGAAGCCAAGACTGGAGCTTGCATAATTGCTGGCAAAAGACTGAGTAAATGCTTGCTAGAAACCATTTTTATTGTGGCAATTAAGTGAGAAGCCCAGTTTATTAGCACTAAAATTTCTAATCAGAGCATTCTATCACATACAGGCTACTGCTGAATGGTGAGTGTGTAGAAGTAACCATTTTCTTCATCTTTAATTACCAAATAGACTGTTGGTTTGCTTTGTTTTTATGAGAATTTCAAGAGTTACCATTGGCCAATTGTTCCGACAAAGCAAGTTTGTGAACCTTCAGGCATGTTTTAGAGGCCTATCCATTTCTTACCAAGAAGCTGGCTTAAAGGTAGTAGTCCTTGTGAGGAAATTTATTACTGTTAGTGGCTATTAAGCAGGGGTGGCCAAACTTCTTAACCCAACCAAAACCCTGACATGACTGAAAGCTGCAGGACACGTAGCTTTCAGGATGCACACATAGATCTCCACACAGCCTCCCAGCAAAAATAATTTGGTGTTAAATAACTTTTTTCAAGAGTCATATCTAAACTACCTGGGAGTCATATATGGCTCAAAAGACAGTTTGCCCACCTATGCTACAGGGTCTATCCCAAGGGTGGGCAAAATGGAGGATCTGGCCAGCAGCTGGACTCCATTTCCCAGAAGCGCCTGCCCACATGGCTGGGGCTGGCCTTCATGGAGATCCCAGCCCCAGCTCTGTTGTGATAGCAAGGCTGAGGTTTATGTTCTGCCTACTTCGTAGTAGAATTGTTGCTACTTTATGCATGCTGTATACATGTTCATGTATAGTCAAAACTAGATCAGAGTCAGGGCAGGAGTGCGTGCAGGCTGCAGATCACAGCTCTGCCCTGGCCCTGACCAAGCTGCCCCCCACTGCAGGATCCCAGCAGCTCTGGAGAAGCTCCCTGCCCTGTCAGCATGGCTGGGGCTGGTCTCCATGACCACCCCAACCTTGTGCTATCACAGGGCAGCTGCAGCTGGCGTCTCCATGGAGACTGGCCCCAGCCATACAGGCAGGGGCTGCTGGGAAATGGAGTCCATTGTTGACTGGATCTGCGCCGTGGGCTGGACTTTGCCCACCCCTGGTCTATCCACAACATGCAGATTGTTAAGTTTCAGGAAAAATATAACTGAAATACTGTTACTCTTGGGGTCTTCATTCATGCAAGCACTATTTTTAGTCACATACCAATGTGACATTTGGACATGTCTCCTTATGTTCTGTGGCAGTGTGTTCCACAGGTTCAGTAGATGCTTTCTCAGTCTAAGATTTTTGTTTTATTTTTGTATGAAATGGACAGTAAGTAACAGTAAATGTGAGTGCCAAGTTGGTCTTCTGCCATTTTCTATGGTTACCACATCATCTTAAATATGTCTAGTATTCCACAACAACGTGCATGGAATCACGTACCATGTTGTTTTTAAACTGCCCTTTTTTCTACTGAGATGGAAGGACTAACAATGAACAGTGGTTAGAGATATATTATTTATGGCAGTTCCTACGTAGGCTGTATTAAGGGAAACGAACAATTGTGATCATGTTTCTCATTGGTCAGTTGAACAGTGGCAGAGGACCATGTCATTACTCTTGTTAGAAGGTCACAATTCATTGCGCATGTGATTTAAATTATATGTATACCTTGCACTTCTTGACATGAAATTTCATTTGCTATTGCATCATTCAGTTCCTTAGGTTTGTGAAGATCTTTACGAAGCTCCTCTTTATCTTTTCTGCCCTTGACTTTGCTAAAGTAGGTCAGCAACATGTTTTTGTAGCTCACTTTTATGAGGTCTTCACTCATTCTCTCTCTTACAGAGGTCCCTCATATATAGAGGAGCAAACCCTGTGCTGTTCATTTAGTCACCATTTTTATACAGTATTTTCAATTTTTATATGCCCATTTATCCTTTGCTTTCCTACTCAACATTTCCATCTATAAACCCTCTCTCAAACAGTCTGTAAAAAGTTAATATATTCACAGATTATCAATCTTTTTTTTATGTCCCTTTGCAGAAAGCTGTTTGTTTTTGTATTATGCTAATCCAAATGTTTTTAAACTCTGGCTTAAAGATTCTCCTAGTTTCCTGGTATTGAAGCAGGACTCGAGGATCTGTATTATAAGATCACCTTAGATGGAATATCCATCTGGGTTCCATGGGCCAGATGAGTAACGTGGGGCCAGTCCACAAGGCCACACATCCTGGGGCAGTGCCTGGGACTAGTCCAGTGCACACTGGGCATGTCTACATGTGCAATTAGTGCACATGAATAAACTCTGGAGCTTACTGCTCTGAAGTTTTTTGCTCTTAGGTGTGCCATTTGAATGTGTGCCTGGAAGCAAATAACTCTGGAGTTTATTCATGCACAGCATGTGGAGCCCAATCAGAGCAGTCCCAGCTGGAAGGGATTCCCAGAGATCAGCCTGCCAGCCTAAGGCTGCTCTGTCTGGGCTCAGCGCACTGCAGACAGGCTAGCTGAGGCAAAAGAGTGTTTCAATGTGGGGCTAGCCTGCAGGTGGCCCCCGCACTGAAGCACCCTTATGTACCACCCAGCCAGGTGAGTGTCTACATGTGTACTGCTGCACACAAAAAAACTCTGGAGTTTTACTTGCATTTACAAGTACTACCTTGCTGAGGAACTTATTAGTTGCATGAGCCCTAACAGGGGTGCAGATGTAGACACTGAGACATTTACTGTGCAATTAATTAGGCAACTGTGCAGTAAACATCTTGTGTAGATGTACCCACTGTGTACAGCATCTGGATTAACTCTGAGACCCAGGGGAAGTACCAGGGGATGAATGATGCCACTCCAAGGGCTGTACCTTTAACACCCCTGCCTTACATGTCAAACACAACACTGTTCTGCTTCCATTTCAGCAACGATTTTCTTAACAGTAAGTAAATGTTTGGCTAATAGCTCAGTTATAGTGTTGTTTACGTGAGCTGGCCAGAAGAGTGCAAGAACAAGCTCTATATCTATCTATATATCTCTCCCATCTCTGAGAAATAAATCTCTCTCTCTCGCTATCTATATACCTCTTACTTAAGCTGTTAAGGAGATATATAAATATCTATAACTCCTTAATGGTTTGAGATGTGTATTTTCAAGGAGAGATTATTTTAATTTTTTCACTCACCAAACTAATGGTGAGTGAAGAAATTGGCAGCCTTCCAAAAGAGTGAAAGTCTTTATTGTATATGAGGAAAATTAAGAGCAATTTTTCTTACCATCTTCAATATCGTAGGCATAGGAAGACAAGCGAAGTGTGGTAGCACAGTATTCACACTTGAAGCAGCTGCGATGAAAGAACTTGCCTTCGGCACTTAACCTTTCCATCACGTAGACCCGCTTACGACAGAAATAACAGACATCACTGCCTCCCAGGTTCTGGGGGAACTCCTTTTTGAATGAGCCCTGGACAGAAATGAGGCAGATTTACAGTCACTTGAGTCCAATCACATCTCCATTGTAGGGTCACCTTTTCTCATTTCTGTGATACCATTTCTGATACATCCATTAACACCACTTAGCAAAATGAAAGCTTATGTACCAGTCACTAACCTTTCATGTCCATGGGGCAAGTCGAGGTAATTTCTGAAGTTGTGGGGAATAAAATCAGGAGCAAGTTACAACTCCCAAACCATTAGATCTATGGGCTGACAATTCAACACAAGGTTATTAATGGTGCTCTGGAGACAGCTGACTGAAGGAAATGTAAATTGGAAATCCTCTCTATGTCAGCTGAGACAGTTTACAGTTGTACTTCCAACCCTGCCTATATTCACTTGACAGAGGCTCAGGTTAACCTTGAAACCAAGTTTTTCCAAATGCAGCTCAACCCTAATAGGCAAAAATATCAGGCTGGACTGTAGGAATTCTTCCAGCAATACTGCTCTTAGCTCTACATTTCCTTGAGACTTATCAAGAAAGATGTTTTCTCCAGGACACAGCAATCCACAGAAAGCCCAACTTGATCACATACCCTGGCTCTGAAATATGTAGAGCTGTATCTCAAAGCAGTCTCTCTGTAATGTGCAGGACCCTAGGATGCTGGCAACAGAATTCAGGCAGATTTTGGAAAAAAGCATGAGGATAGGGAGAGGGTTTAGAAAAAGGAAGTGAGATTTACTAAAATTATTTAAGATGTTGTCAGCTTCTTTCAAGACAACTAAACACTTATAGTACCACAGACCTATAGAACTTCTAGTCACAAACACACATCTTCTGCACATCATTCTCTTACCCGTTCCTTCTTGTCTAGAACGGTTTTGGGTTGCTCTTTTCTTTGAAGCTGATTGGCTATCTGCTCAGCCAATGAGCTCACTCCGCCTGTGTACATCTTTATATACTTCTACCAGATGGAAGGGATAAAACACAGGAAAGTGAGAAAAGAAAAAAATCAAATTAAAAAGATGACAAAAAATGATAAAGGTGATGAAAAGGTGCAGAGAGATCAAACCATGCTGAAACAGCGGACAACACAGGCAGAGTGACCGTGGAAAAACAGCAGAACCAGTGTCGTCAGTGATCACTAGCAAAGCCCAGACTAAAAGTAGCTAAAAGGGAGGTTTACAATTGGTCCCTTTACATAATTAGAAGGACTACAATTAAAAGAAAGAAGATGAATCAAAGTCTCTTTGTTTATAGAATATTTTGTTCATGAACGACATGAACATCTACCTCCCCCTGCAGGGAGACGAAACCAAGACAAGTTTTAGGTTTCAGGTAAAAATGGACATTGAGGAAAAGTGGCATAAAAGAGGTATTTCATGTAACCAAATTCAAAGGCGTGATCATGAAGGTTCACTCAGTTTCTTTGCAATAGGGAACAACTAGTTTCCAAGGGAAGAGAAAAATAAAAATAGTTAGCTCAAGCAGAGCCACAGCAATTCCAAAAAAATTAATACCTCCAAAGCTGCATGCATGAGTGCTCACAACACACAAGGGGTTTCAAGACTTTTCATGAAAAGAATGGAGGAAGATGAGCCTAGTACCATAACTATGTTTAGCTGAGCATGCAGCTTTATGCCTAAACTATTCTCTATCAAGTACATTTTTCCTGGGTACCACAACCCCAAGCATTTGGGTTTGATATTAGGCTGCAATCACCCTCACAATATTGGTAGTCAGACATCTAGGAAGCCTGACACATCTCAGTGTAAGAGGTGGGAGATGAGAAATTTATAAGCTTGTTTGCTAGCTAAGTTTGGTCACTTCATGAAAATGAGTCATGCAGGAAACACCCATGGCATTTGAAAATAATTATTTGATTGAGGGAATAAACCTCACAACCTAATAAAGATCCAAACTTAATGCAAGCACCATATATTGTCTCAGTGCAGCAGCAGACATCACCCTAGGCCATGCCACTTATCCAGATGAGGGATGTTTTGAATGCTCCAGAATTAAAAACAGGCATTTTTCAAGCCTCTTCAGTAAGTGAAGGATTAATTCTGCCTTCCACATTGAGACCACATGACTTTGGTCAAGTGAAGCAGTTGGGAAATGCACTCCTCTGAAGCAATGAACTAGATTCAAAACCCTGAAAATCTTCCTCATTCGTACTACAGGGTTTCTATTTGAAAAACCATTCATTGTCAAAGCTACATGCACTTACCTATCCCTGCACATAATTTCTATACTGTATTTTGCTAAAAAAAGTTTTTAAACGTATGCACCTATTATGGTGTTTGCTCTTGCATGCATTTGTTGCTGTAATTATCAACAGTTTATGGATGTTTACATCTTCACATTTTTGCATGTTCTTCAAGAATCACAAAATGTAAAATAATCAAACTGCAACTAGTTAATTGGGAAAGAGCAGGGATTTGCACACATCTTAGAGTAACTGTCCCGATGACTTCTCTTACCACATAGTAAATGAGAACTACACTTGGGCAGCTTGCCCCAAGTGGAATGGGCTAAATTGCTCTGGTATAGCTTTCATTTACTTTGAAATAAGGGTGGGCCATTACCCTGACAGCGGCTCCATGTAAGTCCCTATCACTTTTGACTTGTTTCAATTTTGATGGTTTGTCTGAACCCTAAGATGTTTGAGTCCCAATATTTAGATTTTAGCAGAAAATGTTAATCTCTTAGGCAAGTATGAAATGTAACTACATAATCGAACCACTACACTGTATTATCTTCATGCAGGGGTATATCCTGAGTCTGGTACTATTAAATATCTTCATTAACGAATTTGAGGATGGGACTGAAGGGCACATTTAGCAAATTTGTGGAGACACTAAGCTGGGTGCAGTTGTAGACGTTCTGAATGACAGCACTAGGGATCAGAATGACTTTGATAAATTGGAGAAATGGTCTGAAATCCATTGAACAAAATTAAAAAACAAAAACAAATGCAAAGTTTTGCATTTAGGACAGAACAATCACATGTACAAATACAAATTGAGGAATGACTAGGTAGGCTGCAGTACTACAGAAAAGAACCTGAGGTTACAGTAGACCATAAGCTGAATATGAACCAACAATATGCTCTAGCTGTAAAAAAAAGACGACCAATAGCACACTGGGCTACGTTAAGAAGATTTCACTTACTAGTCAAGGGAAGTGATCCTTCTACTCTATTTGCCACTGGTGAGGCCTCACCTGGCTTACTCTGTCCAGTTTTGGTCCTTTCACTTCAAAAAAGATCTGAGCAAATTTAGAGTCCAGTGGAAAGTGACAACAATTATTAGAAGCCTAGGAAAAATGACGTTTGAGGCTGGACTAGAAGAACTAGGATTATTTAGTGTCTAAAAGTGGAAAAACTGAGCAGGATTAGATAACTAATACTTAAAGGGTAATTATATGGTAGGTGGCCACAGAAAATAAATTATTTTCTATGGACAAGGCTAGGAGAAATGGTCTCAAATTGCAGCAAGTGAAAATTCAGGTTGAGCTTAGTTGAAGTTTATCACAGAGTGTGACTAGGCATTGGAATAGGCTCCCAAGAGAGGCTGTGGAATCTCCATCACTGGAAGTTTTGAAGCGAGGTTAGACAAACATTTGACTGGGTGCTTTACTCAGGGAGGAACCTGCCCTTGAGCAGTAGGCTAAACTACATGACATTCTGAAACTGACCCCTACCTTCCAGGAGATAATTGCAAACATGTGAAGGAATAAACATGATCTTTCTGCCATACTTTTCTATGATTCCTATCAAAAAGGCATTTATGCCTTCTGCTATTCCAAGCATGCCTTGTTTCTCTAACCAAAACACAGAGCTCAGCTAATGCATATGCCTAAACTGACCTTTGTAGTTCACAACCTTTCCACTTTCTAATTTCATTACTCTTATGCATCACATCTCATCTGATACTAGTTCATAATTGTGGCTCAGAAAATCCTTTATTTTTCCTCCCCCTCATAGAAAGCTTTTGGCAAAGAAGTTTCTAGTTCTGACAAAAAACAAAAACTTCTCAGGTTGTTCATTCTTGTCCATGGAAAGAAGTTTTGCCTCAAAAAAGTCCTGATGGAAAATTCTGGACTAGCCCTAAATTTCTCTTTGTGAGAGAAGTTTTATCTTACTATTTGTCTGTTACAATATTCTGGATCATTGAGCGTCTCAAACTAATACAGCTATGATAAGTTTAAGTCTTGCTTTCTTTCCTTAATTTTAAACTTCTGTGCTCTTTGACTTGGGTCTCTCCTGGGCAGTGATTTTTAGCTTATGCAGAATCTTTACATTCTGTGGCATGGACAGACATCCCTTCTAAGTATGAAATGAGGGCAACCAATTTCTGTTGCTTGTAGCACAATTAGCAACCACTGTAATTTTCAAGCGATACCCACTTGATTTTTTGGAATACTGAATGATTTCCCTCCATTAATCTCAGTCTTTCCCTTTAAAAGCATACATACAAACCCAAGCTATAATTTGCTTCAAGTTTTCAAAAGGGAGCAGGAAACCTTAAAAAATAGCTTGTATGTCCTTATAGATTATTCCACAGCCAGAAAAATACCATTGTTGGAAAAGTGATTTGAGGCTATTTAAGACTTCAAATCTGGCTTACCAGAACCTTTTCCATGAACACTCAACTTTAAGAATACTTTGTTCCCAATGGCTGAATGGCCTGGAATAATCAAGATATACCACAGGCTGCCTCTGGCTTCACACTTGTATATTTAAATGCACGCACCACATTCAGCCACATGAAAGAGGTGAAGCCTTGCAAGCCTAGCCATCTTCTGTGGCACATCCTCTGCTGGTGGGAATGAGGTGGGGCAAGTAGGCACAGCTGAGTGCAGCTTGCAAGATCCAAGCCATGCTACCTGTCGAAGGGAATCAGATGAGGGTGAAGCAGGGCGGTTGGAAGAGCGGAGACTAAGGGAGAGCTCCCACTGGTCAACAAAGAATCGACGAGACGGTTCAGTCTCTGGCTAAAAAATAAAATAATAATCAAGAAAATCACAGAGGGATATTGACAAAAAATAAATAAAATGTCTTACAGGAACCTTTAAGAGCTATTGGAGGCGATCATCTACCCTATCTTTTCCATTTCCAAGTGACAAGGCAGAGAATAAAGAAATTGCTCTTGCTATGGCCTTCCTTGGGCTATAAGTTTTTTTTACCCCCCCACCCCCACCCCAAAACATAATTTGGAATCAGCTATCTAATTGCACAGAAGCTCAGGATCCTGGGGAATTGCTGCTTTCTGCAATACAACCAAGTCAGTCATTCATGAAGATTCTAAAACAATTTCTGGTACTCTTACCCTCTCCTTGCAGAGAGACATCTACCCTATCCACCCATTCTCAGCTCCCACGTGTCAAACTCAGAAATTCAACAAAGCCATTCTGAAACTGCTCCCACATCTGCTCTTCAAACCCATCACGAGCCCCAGGAGGTGCCTTTGGAGGGACTTCACTACTGTATTTCCAGGTTTTGTGCATGTAAGCAGGAGTGAGTATACAGGACATGCTCAAAAACATGCTTCCAAGACTGCTGGGAGATTGCTTTCCAGGTTTTAACTAAAAGAGATCCAACATTTATGCCTTTTTAGGAGTGGGGATGGAGAAAAGTCCTCTCACCCCTCCACTATTCAGCATCCTCATCTCTATTACAAGATCGACTAGTAAACTAGCAATGAATTTTCACCTTAGAATCCACAAGAAACATGGGGTTTAATTTTAAATCACATTGCTCATCCTTTAAATATATTTTTCATTGAAAACAAAATTAACAAGCTAGCAGAAGGTAATGAGCTTTGACACACTCCTGCTTTCCAAAACAGGAAACAGGCTGTGGCGTAAGGCTTAGGCAGAGGAAGGAAAAAGCAGGTATAGGCATCTTTCCCTAAACTATGCCGTGATTTTTTCATGCTCTTTTCTTCCCACTCAGAGAGATACCTCCTATCTTCACTTGCTTACTTGCTGCACTTTACAAATTCCTGCCCCCAAGAGACAAGCATAGTTTAAAAGTGAGAACCAGCAAGGAGAGTAACCACTAATTCTTCCTCTGCTCTTTCTTATCATACAGCATAGGCTAAATGCCAAAGCTGAAAAGCCAAATCTTTCCAAAATCAATTCTTCAGAAAAGAACCCAGAGATCACTAACCCAGCATGCACCTCTTAACCTACTCAGCTTCTGCCAGTCCATTATCACCATCTGCCAGGAAACACCTTTAGTATAGAAGCAGAACACAATCATTAGAAATATCACAATCCATTAGTACCTGTCAGCTAGTGTAAGTTATAATCTGGTGGGAAAATATTCAGAAGATTGTAAGAAGGTGAACATTTTAAAAGAAAAAACCCTAAAACAGTGACAGGGAAGGAATTACGTCACAGTTATTTTTATATGATCCACAAAAACAGCTGTTTTTAGACACACATGCAAAGATGGAAAAGATCTCTGACATTTGGTAGCTTGAGGACTTAGTCCAATGGCAAAAAATATCTGTGCTACTTCAAGTCTTGCAGTTTAAAGGAAAATAGCAGTTGTGTCATTTTTATATGGGTACTTTTTACTTAAGTGCAACTGTGAATCAACTAATAGTTATTTAAAATATTTTTAAAGTCCCTAAAAAAACAATCTCTAGCTTTTGCTATACATTCTTTCCTTCTTAGTGTCACTGCTTCTTCCTGTTTTCTTTCCTTAACATTCTACATCATGGCCCATCATTCCCTACATTATCCAAGCATCTGTTTCCTGTTTTCCTCTCCTACAACCTACTCCTTTTTCTGCTTTTTTCTACTTTGTACTCTCTGCCTCTTCCTCTGTATTTTTCCACCTCTTCTTTCTTCTGCATCTTCACAGAAATCACATATAACATGTCAATATCTTATCTCTGTCTGCAAATATAACTCCATACATCACTTCCACATACCCAGATAATTTAAAAATGTTATCAGGCATCCAATAGCTAGAGGACTAAACAACCAAGCCACCAAGCAGTACACAGAGACAGGAAGGTTGCATCTTTACACAAATTAATATGCTAGCACAATTTCTGTTGCTGAAGTGTACATGAACGATGTTTGGGACCTTTAACTATAATACCCTTAAGCTAATACATTTGAAATCTGACCTCTCACCCAACTATCTATGGTTGCTTCCCTATCCATAGCCCTCTAGCAGTTTGAGTCACCCCAAACCAACAATACTTCTACTGATTCACAATGTTCCCAAGGGCAATAGTCCAAAACTCTGATTCTTATAACCTTCACTCTGACAACTTGGAAAAGCTAGCTACAACAGCAACCCCCCCGAAGCTGTCTGTATGTAGATTCAAGATTACACTACTGGATCATTTTCTGGTTTGGAAATTTAATTCACAACAGTAAATACAGGAAAAAACATTTAAAATAGCCAAGCTTCTTCGAAGTAGACATATTTGCCCCCAAAGCTTCCCACTTGCCAAAGACTGTTAAAGATCTGATGTGTAATGCAGAGGAGAGGTAGAGGAAGCCAAGTGATTCCAAACCAGAGATGCCACTGTCCAAAGCAGCAGGTGCCAAAAGGTCAGAGGTGGCAGGTGGGAGAGGAGAGGAGGAAAAGCAAAAAGGGAAAAATATTTCACCAGCAGCAGCAAAGAGAAACTGCATAAACCACCAGCTTTACTGCTAGAAGCAGCAATACTGGAAGAACGACAACAAAACTGGCCTACGTAGTGCCTGGAAAGGGGGGAATGTGAACGTGTCTACTCTGGAAATTAGTAACTTAAATTTCCCAGTAATTCTTTCCAACTAGCACAGGGTCATGCCAGGAGATGTTTTTTAGTCCAGGTGGTGATCAGCATGTGCCCTGAAGCTTAGGGGTGATTGTTCTTGTCATTTGTATTCTATATGGTGAAACAGCAAACACCAGGCAAACCCAAGTAAGAACCAAGAAGTATGCTGAAAACTGGCAAGAAAAGAAGTGAAGTTAAAAACAAAAAAAGTTCTTGCGACAGTTCACACTGTTCTTTTTCGCAATGACTGTTACATTCTGGTGCACACTTCTATCACTCTGATCCCAGCAGCCACACTAACTGAATCCTACAGAACTGCAAAACAGACAGAAGATGGCCAGACAAGACAGAGCAATAGTCACCTGATGTCTTACTGTTGGCTTTGGCTCCTGCAGGACAGGCAGTTGACATGCCCTCTGCTCAATGTTCAGTGCTTGCTCAGGCACTTGATCATCAGAAAAAACCCGATGAGATCTCTGCTGGATAAGGAATGGAGGAGGAAATAAACGAAACGGGGAAAAATATAAAACCAAAAAGGAACAAAAGTAAAACTCAAAACAAGGCCAGTGCCAAATAAAAGGGCACAAAAGCTCACATGCAGAAGAGACGAGCAAGAAGACCACCTAGATGAACATTCTCTTCTATCTTCCAACATTATTCCAACTAGAAGCTCTAGATTTGGCCACTCAAGGGTAAGGGAGAAACAGATGAATTAAGCAGCTCCTCCACAGACCTCTGCAACCAAAAGCAAGCAAGCAGCTTCTATTTTGCCATTCCATCCAAATAAGGTCATCCCTAGCCTAGCCAAAAAGCATGGTTAGAGTGGTCAAAACAGCTCTGTCCTTGGCATCAAATCTCACCCCTGGTCTTTTGTCAAGAGATCTGCTTTATAGATTTCCAGACCAAGGAACAGTCATTTTTATTTCTTGGCCTTTGTTCATTAGGATACTCATTTGAAGTAAGGCAATCAAGAAAATAAGTCTGGGGAGCATCTAACAGCACACAACAAAACTAGGCATAGTGTGGTTACATCACTATAGAAGCTTCCCAGTTCTGCCCCAGCATATCTATTATCCCATCCTTCCGACTTATCTTCATCCTCCAACACAACTCTGTCAACAAGACTTAATCATGATATGCTGAGCCCCTTTCTATTCTAGTCCAGGTATTGCTTGAGCAGATGTCATTCATCTGCTGTGTGGATACTTCAGTGACACAGAAAAGAATCTACTTAGGACTGGCACATGGCCTACTGTTGGAATGATAGGGGCATTAATCCATAATATCACTCAGCTTTCAGCGAGTCTTACTGTTTGGGGGATGAAAAGTAAATTGAATAGGATGTATCCTATACAGAGAAGGCTCATACTTCGTCTGTTCACGGAATGCTGAACTGCTGGCTATATGGTCTAACAGATAAATGTATTACAACAACAGAACACAAGACTGTTCACAACTAATAACTGATATATTTCTTCTTATTCCACTGAGACTGTACATCACCACTCTTCTCTATTTTAAGCAGCTTAATCCCACCTGTCCCTCCTACTATGCCATTTTTGTTACAAGTAAAGTTAACAAGCTGTAGACCCTTGTGCAACTGCAAAGATGCCTGTTAAGTTTCTGACGACAGTCAGAAATCATCCTACCCACCTTACAGGATCATGGGACTGCTATGTAGGATATTCTTTGCAAGGCACAGTAATTTTTCTTAGCTGGCTCCTAGTTATGGTTTGGCCTATAAACGGTTTTCTTGAAGAGGCATTCATTAGTTAATAGGGATCCAAATCGGTGAACTGTGTGAAGCATGACCAAGCTCCTGTATGCTTCTGGACTCTTCAGACTAAAAGCTGAGCATTTCATTATGAAGAACTCTTCAGTCTTTAAAACTAAACTAGCCCTTACCTTCTCCTTTGTAACCTGGCCTGGAGAAAGCAGGATGGAATGCCAGTTGTTGAATGAACTAGAAAGCAAGCTATGGAAATGTTGCAACTGTGTGCTCATGAAACAAACAAAAAAACCCAAAAGCTTAAACTTTTTTTGTTCTGCTACAGCCACAGCCCACTTTAACAAAGAGGTGTAGAAGTGAAGAATGGAGAGAGCTGAAGTTCCAATCTATGGCAAAATAAAGCAGGTAGCACACAATCACTTCATGAGTGCTTGTTAAGCAAGTAAGTATATAGACACTACACAAAATCATCATTCCTAACTAATTTGCAGCAGCTCCAGCATGTTAATAGCAGGACTGGGATGGACTGTGCTTCCCTCCACCCCTGTAAAGCTTCCTTGGAATATTGCACACATCCACTGCCACTTTTGTGCTACTTGCATCCATGCTGCTAGTTCATGCTCTTTTACCCTTTCCTGTCTGGGACTCTGCTCCCCATGGGGGTCAACGCCAGGTTCCCTGTGTGTCTGTAGACAACAAAGTGTGAGCTTAAGAACAACCATCATCCAGATTTCCACTTTAGACATGCCTGATTTGAGTCATCTTACAACGTAGTCAGAAAAGAGACTATCATGCTGAAAAATGACCAAGTTGATTAACTATAGTTTTTAAAAAAAATAAACAAGCACTTGGATCCTTTGAGGGGGAGGGGAGTAGAAATCAGGTCTCACAAGTCTATTAAGGCAATTAACTAGTATATACCAGTTGCCCAAATAAATGGCATTAGTATGAGGAAAGTGACAGAAACACTTAATACATTCTTGCAGTGTGATATTAGATCAAAGGAGAAAAACGGGAAGTTTAAAAGAAGTGGCAGTTAATGCATTAGGAGCACAGAGAACACAAGTTTGCAAAAGTTGTACTACTGTACAAAAGATCTATGACCAGGGACATAGATCAGTGAAAACAGCTACAATGTAGAGGCTAAACAACTTCAGGAAGAGAAGCTGTTTTGAGGAAAAATATGCCCCCATAAAGGTGCTACCCCCAAATTAATTCTTTGTATCAGCTCTATTCAGTAACAATGGGAATAGCCTCTCTATTTGTCAAAGGAAAGAAGCTGAGAGTATTCCAATTTTATTTAAGTGAAAGATATGCAAAAAGTTCCCTGGATAGTGTAAGGTAGAAGGTGGTAAATCCATAAACAAACAGATACAGATCCATAAACAAACCAGCAGCCATTGCTAACTTGAGCAAGCAACTGACATAAGAAGGACCTCATATTTGGAAGAGTTAAAATGGAGAGAAGATAAAAAACTGAAGGGACCTTTGTTTTATTTATCAATGTATGGACTAAACACAAGACTAGAAAATAAAATTCCCTAATTAGAAACTGATTCCCCCTGTGACCTAAACAAATTGGCACCTTCTTGCCACCGTTTCCTCATCTGTATGAAGGAGGCAATACTTTCCCATCTTGGGGATACTCGTGTCAGCTGTCTGACTCAAGACTCATAGTAATCAGCTAAGTCCCAGTTCAGGTTTAAATAGCTTCCTTTCCTTCACTTGATTCTGCTACACCTAATTGCTGCAGCACAGAACACACTTTTACTCAACTTCAAGTATGCAAGTGGGTCAAGGGAAACCTATAGAAATGCCTCTACAGGAATGTAGTTGTATGGTTCCTATTATCACTAGGGAAGAACAGTGGAGTTGAGTGTGTGTGCGCGCGTTACCTCATGATTAGCTTGGGATCTTCCACAAGGAAAGGGAGTTTATTGCTACATTAGGAAGTAGTGACAGCAGCAGTTAACAAAAAAAAAAAGAGATCAACCACACGAGCCGACAAAAAACTAACCAGACTTTTGACTGTCATATGAGTTATAGGCCAACAAATCTGTGCGTCGGCAGACCTACATGCACATAACTAAGTCTTCTATAGTTTAAGAGTAACTGTTCTATCTGCACTGCAAATTCAAATTTAGACATCAAACTTGAGCTGTTAGAGAGAATGGGAAGGACTAAGCGGCATATATGCCATTATGACAGTCCCAGAGCACTCATAAAGAGTCTTTGAAAAAAGACTTCCAGACAACATCCCCTTAATACGCTGTTTAAAAAAGAGAAGTGGAGATGGAGAGATGGGACTGAAACAGCAGGAAGGCTGCAGCTTGAAAATGCAGGAAGTTGAAGCTGAATGCTGAACTTCATTTCCCATCCCATACCTCCTAGACCAACCTCTCTTTTGCAGAAGTGTCCTGGGATGGTGAAATACCTAACTGTAATAAATTCTCCCCTTCACACAAACATACCTATCTTAAGGGAACTCGGTATATGCAGTTAGAAGAAAAAACTTGTTGCTAACATTTTGCATCAAACTTCTCTGCCATCACAACACAAAACTAGAAATGGTTGTTGCCAACAAAAATGCCAATCAACTGAAATCCCAGGATTTTTTCTTGCGCCTAGCCTAAAAGTATTATGGTTCAATTTGTGATACAATCTGTTCAGTGACTATTTGCATTTCTTATGAAGGAAAACTAAAAGGCTCCACCAAGTGGGTTAAGACAATGCCCCATTGATAGACTTAATTTGGTTACTCATCTAGCCCCTTTTGCAAGCAGGAAAGAAAGAGGGGAGAGAAGGGCAGAGCATGCAGAGTGAATCACCTGCTGGCTGGAAAACGATGGAGAGGAAGGTGGGGTGGAGGAAGAATAGAGAGTGATCACTTTTTTAGGGCAGGTCCGAGAACGATCCGTATTCCTTGGCTTGGTTTAAAAGGGTAGGGAAAAAAGAGAAAAAATAAGAAAAGTAAAGCCAAAGGGAACTTTAAAATTGGCTTTGGTGAGGCAGAGTAGGGGTAGACCCTGACCACCAAAGAACAGAGTCACAGTTCAATCTGCATTAGACAATTTAACTTTTCTGCTGAAATTAAAGATTTGGAATTAAATCAGTCTGACATACTTCTAAGGACAGCTACTAAATGTAGCATTTCATATTAATAATCAATATTTCTGCTTTGCATCCTCATCACTAGTGAAACACACAATTAAAACTCTATATGGCACAGATAAAACTGTTCAGCATGCATCTGGCAAAATTACCTGTCACCGTATCACATAATGGATTAAAAACATCTATCCCATTGGTCTAATTACACTTGCTTAAAGTTCATCAGTAATATAGCTCAAATCCTATCACCAACAACTTTTATTTCCTCAGTTTCAACTGCTTCCCCACACCTGAGACAAATTAAACAGATATCCAGGAACTTCCTGGGGCACTAGGAAAAGGTAAGTAAAAACAGCAACAATGTGCAGGAAATAAAATATAGAAGTAATCTGGCTAATCTGAGCATTATATGATGAGTCTTTTACCTTTTCTTTCCTAGTACACTCCATTTTGCATTTTTAGATGCTCTTCATAGGTCTCCCCTTTATTTTCAAGCCACAGTACATTCCTTTTCTGCTATGTATAGCCTTTCTATGTACCCCTTCTCCCCCCCCCCCCC